GAATGAATGAATGAATGAATGAATGCAATTGTATTTCAGCATGTGGGGTGTGACATGCAGTACACAACCACAGGTACTTGTAAGTACATTTGGTTTCTGAATGTCAGAACACTTGTGCTATGGCTTCTTTGCTCAAAGTGGACTATCAAGGTGAACAAGAAGATTCCTTGTAGTACAGGATTACTTGCTGCCCTAAATGGGATTCATTACTTGCATATCACATTTGTACCAGCTACATTACTATCTATTTAACAGAAAAGGCCACCAAAGAATTGAGCAAGTGCAACGGTTACAGAGATTTCTAAAAAACAAATTCTATTTTAAATTCAAACTAGCATTAAGAGTTTGCACATTGAAGCCCTATACCTCTAAAATTACTCCCTTCTGGTATCCATGGTAACCAACATTTCAATATATAAGTATTTCATGTTGATTTTTGTCCGTATATTTCTTTTGCGTATGCTAAACAAGCTGAAATCATATTGTTGCTAATTTTTGGCCTTTGGCAGAATGCCATTTGTATGGATGGCAGGGTAGGGAGGGGGACTGAGGTTCCCTCAGTAACTCAGTAAGGAGCATGGGCACCCCTCGTTTTTTTCAAATAATTTTAATCAACTACCTATAACCTTTATGTGAGAAAAAACTGATCTGATTTCTATTGCTGGAAATTGAATAAATGAGGAAAACAGAATACCATGTGGTATTTTCTGGTTTGCATTTATGTAGCCATGGCAACCAATTTGAATCAATTTTTTCCTTAAAGATCCAGCTTTCTATCTAAAACAAACTGAGAATTTTTGTTTGTGTCCAATACTCTGTACTGATTGTAGTTCAGGGTATGCTAGTCTCCATATGATGAATATTCAGTGGAAAAATATGAACTAAAATCTATTGGCAGTTTATTTTCGGAGGAATGACCTTAATTTTTATAATAATGCTTCAATTTGTTACTTTATTTTTTTTTATTTCAGTTTTGGTAAAAAAATGTTTTAATATCTTACCTGACCTCTCTATAAACATTTTTTTTACCCCATCACGTTGGCAAACAATTTATTTTGTCTTTTCAGACCCTGCAAACAATGTTTTTTTCAATATGAGCCCAGACACACTAGGCAAATTTTTGTTTATTTTGCGAAAAAATCTGTCACCAGTTCCCTACCAAATTTTGTCAAGGCTCGCCGAACTTCAAAGGCGCCGTAGTCTTGCCTCGAAGCAGGACAAATTTTTGTCAGCCGTGACATCTGACAGATTTGTCAATTTACGGGCCATGATTTGATGGAAAATGTCAATCAAGAAAATTTGATTTTTATTTCTAGTCGAAGTATTTAAGACATCCGTGAATACTTCACGAGCAAAATTCATTGCAATGCCTGCATTTTCCACCCACCATGTGATAAGCGATATAGTCCGAAATCCAGAACACTTTCTGGTGGGATGCGGTTCCTCAACCGCGTGTCTTCCCTTTGTAGCTTAACGAAGAATGGCCTACGGACCGTTAGACGTGTTGCGCGACATTCTCATCTGGTGATGAAAGACTTCTTCGAAGATATTATGCCTACGAAAATTAAGTAATGGTCTGCATAAGAAGTACGCATTTCAAACCACGAATTGCAAGGCCTAGGTAGGTTCTAATAGTAAGGGGTCAATAAGGATGAGACCTTTGCTGCCTTCTACGGACAGATCGGATGTGGTACTCTAGAACCAGTTGCAATCGAACAAGGTGAAGCCTCCACTGGTATAGTAGAAGTAGCAACTGCCTCTGCTGGAGGTGAACGAATTTAAGGAAGAAAAAAACTGAATACAAGCAATAATATGCTGAGACAACATATCCAAACGAAGAGGTTAAAGATCACCATGATACCATGATTCCTGAGATCGCATTAACCTTTCCAGCGAACGGCGTTCAAGGGATGGTTTTTCAGTATTCCCGTGTGATTGACACTTGTGCTTAACTGATATTTTCAATTTGACAAAATTGAAAATTTGGCAGAGACAAATTTTGTCCAGATTTTTGGATGGGCGAAACAAGTTTTGTTTGTCCAATGAGTCCGAAACCTATTTCTCATACCCCCTCTCCAGAAAAATAATGTTCCGTCCCTAATTGAATCATTTTAAATATGTCACGAAAACTAACCTGAACTAGGAATAAACCCGAGCCATGCTGAGTCTGGTCTAGTTTAATTAATTATCTTGATACTACTAAAGGTTTTTGAAGGATAGCAGTAGATTATGTACTACATTACTTAAGTGCTACTGAGACGAAAATTGATGTTCTTCAAAACAAATGTTTTATGCCGACAATTTAAGTTTAAATCCTAAACAAAAAGAAAAAAATACAATTCAGACCTATCGCGGCAAGAAAAGTCCGAAAATTTTTTTATTAAAACTCACTAAATTTCGTCCGCCATTGCTCAAACTGCAACTACTGAGCCAAGGATAATTTTTAGCGTCTTTCCCCATTGTGACGTCATATTATTCCTTTCATCGAA